TGGCTGACGGAGCAACGCCGAGTCAGACGGAACATCGTCTGCCCAGACGAAACGTGGCCTGGGTATGGCCCACCACTATCGTACGACCAGGTGCGAAAACTGAAGCGTCACCACACGCGGGTGGCTCCCCACTTCCCCAGGACAGACCTGGGGAGACCAAAAACCAAAATCTCCACCGGGAGACTAACCGGCCCCCTGAGTCGATCGAGTCGCTCAATATCCGCACCGAGACACAGATAGGAAGCGAAGGGACGCCCCATGTAGGCCATGCCGACTCCGTCTCGAACGACGAGCACGGGTCCCGGTCGCACGTTTCCAACTAAAGCTCTCCGAGCCCCGCCACTCTAGTCGTCAAGGTAAACACTATCAAAACCCCCTCTATTTCTTTATATCATGTATACATCCATACGCGCATTCATTTCATACGCCCGCGCCTCCTGGACGATTTGGGCCCTGAACCGCCCGGGGGCTCGGGAACTAAGCATCGCACGTGCAGCGAAATGCACCAGAACGCTCCGTGTTGCGTCACAAAGCGGCGGTTGCCTCATTCGACATGGGCAACCAACAGAGCCAGGGGAGAAAACCGTAGATGAGCACCGTGCGGCCCTAGCCTGGTCCGGTAGACCAGGTCATCTCAACCTTCTCGTTCGATCCTGAACCTCTCGCCAAGCCCACAGAATCTCCATCGAGGGGAGCCCGTTAGGCCACCCGGGTCGGTCTCTGGAACGACCCAGGCATCTGTCGGGTTGTAGGTAAAGGAGTAGTGGAATGTCACAAGAGGGCTATGACGACCCCGTCACGAACGACGGACCCGGATTCCACTCGATCACACCCATTAGCGAACTCACCGAGCTAGTCTTCGAGCCCAAGCGATCGGGACAGGCAACGAAACTCAGCCCCTCCGGTTGTGAGGAACCGAGGATGGGGTAACGCACAATACTCACATCGACCCCCACAAAAGGCCTGATAGGGCTCGGGGGCTCAAGATGAAACGCCAAGGATGGTGACCTCGAACTCGCTAGATCCACGACTCCGACTCACCCGGTCCCGCGGTGCGCACCGACGCCAGGATCCGTGGGCATCGCCTCGTCTGATCTTTAACCAAAACTAACTACGCTTTGGCTTCAAAACGGCTTCACTTCCGACTGCGCTCCAATAACACCTGGGACCGCGACTCCTAAACTCACGTAACGGCTTCAAAACGGCTTCACTTCTGTCTGCGCTCCAATAACACCAGGGACCGCGACTCCTAAACTCGCGTAACGGCTTCACTTCCGACTGCACTCCAATAACACCTAGGACCGCGACTCCTAAACTCGCGTAACGGCTTCAAATGACTTCACTTCCGACTGCGCAACAATAACACCTGGGACTGCGACTCCTAAACTCGCGTAACGGCTTCAAACGACTTCACTTCCGACTGCGCTCCAATAAAACCTAGGACCGCGACTCCTAAACTCGCGTAACGGCTTCAAACGGCTTCACTTCCGACTGCGCTCCCAGGATCCACGAGCTCCGGCTCGTCCAATTCCTAAACTAACCAAACTAACTCTCTCGATCCACGGCGCGCACCGACGCCTGGGTCCGTTCACGGCTCCACCTCGCCCGATCCCACGGCGCGCATCGACGCCGAAGGTCAGTGAGCTCTAAACATGTCCGAACCGTGCTATCTCCATCCGTGGCGCGCACCGATGCCTAGGTGTTTCCCGAACTAAACCTTCTCACCCGATCCACGACACGCACCGACGCTGGGATCAGTAAGTTCTGTCTCATCCCCATGCCTAGAAACCGCCTCGGCTGCGCAACGACGCCGCGGTTAAACAAAATTCCATCTCAAACTAAAAACATACACACATGCCCGCTGAAACAACACCCCCTAGACGGTTCTGTCCGAACCGCCCGGGGGCTCGGGGGCTACACCCGCTGTCAGGGCAAAAAAAAACCCCAACCGGTTCTGCCCGAACCGCCCGGGGGCTCGGGGGCTACACCCGTGGGTGCGCTCACCGTCAAAACAAATAATCCCCCAGACGATTCGGCTCAAATAGTCCGGGGGCTCGGGGGCTCCTGTCGGGTTCATAAACCCGGGTTCCCTCGGGGACCGGCTTCCACACCAGGGCTCGACCTAGGAAAACATAATGTAGTCCATGGGTCGGCCCAAGAGTCTAAGAACACAACGGGCCGAGAGGACAGTCCGGTCGCCGACCGGGAGGACTACCCGAAAGAACAAGCGCCCGCTCGTCAACTTCTTCGGCCCACATCTCCGACCGGAGCACTCGCTGCCTCCGGATGGGCTCTCCGATCGGAAGGCCTGGCCCAAAACGCTGCGTCCTACTTCGACCCCGCGACTCCGATCGGGGTCCCATAGGAAGCCTGCTTGCCGCTCTTCTCCCACTGGCGCGACCAGGGTCGACTAGGGCATCCGATTGGGGACGCTCGCTCGGAAGAAACCAGGGGCGAACGGAGAAGGCAGTGCACAAGTCAAACCACGATACCTGGACCATACCCTGTACGCTTGCGGGAACAGTGCTCCACAACTGCCCTGACACAAACAGTATTGTAGGCGTCGTTGGACTCCCGTACGGCAAAAACTCCCACACATGCCTCTGGGCATCGGTAGCGGGTGCTAGGATTCACCATACCTAGTACACGTGGTAAGGCTCCTCACACACCAACAATATTTTTGCAGGTACCAACATCCACCCTTCCTGAAGAAGCCAACACAACCTCCCATGTGCACCTGACATTCTACAATGACATCAACAGTATTGTGGCCGCCTACCATCATCGCTACCCTCGTCGGCGTGGGCAACAAGGCTTAGAAACATCCGTACTCTCTCCCTCTCACCTGTAAAGCCATCCCCTTTATCTATAAAAGGAGATGCGCTCCCTCCAACGAAGGAGGTCGACTTCTTCAAATTCAGACTCACTAGATCGATAGCTGACAACCCCTCAAGCACACGCTTAGACTTCTAGCTCATAAGCGGAGTTCTGGTCGCCCTCGGCCCTTCCGGTCGGACCCGACCGGGCCTCTCATACACCCCTCATTTCTCCTTCTCGTTTGTAACCCATTACAGACTTCGAGCACCTGGGCTCAGGAATAAAGTCACCGACTGACCCAAACTAGACGTAGGGCACGTTGCCTGAACCAGTATAAATCCTGTGTCATTGAGTGCTAGGCCACCTCCGATCACAACATACAGCAAAACTACAAATATTCACTGGTTGGTCACTTTCTGTACCGATAAATTGTATCCGACAAGGACTAGAACAACCGCCCTGCCCTCGACACTATATAAAGAGAGGCAGGCGGCACCCCTTGTACATCCAATCAATCATATAATCCAACGCAAAGGCATCACGCCGAACTGGACGTATGGTATTATGCTATTCTAGCGGCCTGAACCAGTATAAATCGTTGTATTCGCGTTTACCGCCAAGTTCTGCATACGCCGAATCTCCCCAACTCTGTTCCGGGTAACCCCGTGACAGGTTGTTGATCGTCAAACATCGACAATCTCGTGTTTGGAGAGAGGATCGGAGGCAGCCAAGCAGGGTATTCATGACTAAGGTTAGCATTATTGGTGTTTATTTGAGTTTTATTTGCGTTTAATATTATGAAACATTGGCAGATTAATTATGAAGAGAGAGATAGAGAAAATTCAATAGAATTTCATCGGGATGAAATATGTTATCAAATTTTTATGCCATTAATTAACTAGACTAGAGGAGTAAACTTCTCTGGTTGTGACAAGATGGGCCGGAAGTGGTATTAAACTAGTAGCGAGACAAAGAATGGGCCTCTACAAGCACATTATCTTTTCCTGCAGTTTGTTGCCACCTTGGGCCTATATAGCTCACCTCTAGTGTTTCAGCCGGGATGCTGCTAGCCTGTTTATATAGCATTGCTATCTTCAATTGGAGTACAAGTGCACAACACATTTTCCAGGTTGCTGTTGGCGTTCACCACTAATCCGTGTGGTGTGGATACATACATCATCGGATTAGCGCCTTTTGCGTGAGTCAGTGAGGCGCCTCTTTGGCGATTAATCAATTGCATTGCTCTCACGGAAGATGGCTACAAACCCTACCATTACCATAATGGGCATAATATATCTTATCAGTTTTCCGAGTCAAAGCAATAAGATACGTATATATCATCACACGTAAGGATCGCACGCACACCACACCACCCTTTTCCTTTTGTCAGGGTCTCATGGAGAAGATGGAACACAGCCAAAAGGACAATCAGTTTGTTATAATCTATAATGCGCTGCCAGGTCACCAGGTTCCACGAAAGCTTTTTCTGAAAAAAAAAGGAACAACACGATCGACATGTAGTCTTCCACCCGCGACCTTTCTTTCCGTCAGAACGAGCGCGAACCACAGGGGCTGCCGGCGGCTGCCGCTGCCCGCTAGCCAGCTAATGTCGGGTTGTCGAGAGTGCGCGCCATTGCACATCCCATCCCAACGCGCGAGCCGCCCAATCTGCCAGCCAGCTGAAGTGCACGCACGCAAACGCAAGCATGACCGGCCGCGGCCGGCGAGCGCGCGGTGCTGGAGGGCCTATCGGGCGCCACTTTTCCGTGTGCGCTGCGCAGTTATTTGCCGGACGTACTACTACGTCTTATCGCGGATCGGCACGGGTGCACCGCCGGAGCAGTGCAGAGACCACCACCAAACCGATCATCGATTTGACCTGACCTTCTCGCGCGGATCGTCGGGTCAGCAACGAGCCGACGAGCACTAGCCAGCCAGTGGCAGACTCCTACCCCCCACCACCACGCGCGCGCGGCTCTTCGAGGGCGATCGATCCACCTCCCGCGCCTATATAAACCCGCGCGCCGTTCGCGGTGCATCGGGCACCGCCACGCACTCCTCTTAGCCCACTCTCCCAGACTCGCAGTTGCTGACTTTGCGAGCCAATAAGCAGGTGCAGTGCGGTTGGGAACGACGAGTCGACGAGCAAGGTCGTCGTAGCTGGGATCGAGTAGTGCGTGTGCATGGCGAAGGCTACTAGCGTCACGACCGGCGTGGTCGCGCTCCTGTGCGTCGTCATCCTGCTCCTGTCGTCCGCCGTGACGACGACCGAGGCCGCCGCCGGCAGGCATTTGGGGATGGGGAGGAGGGACGGCGAGGCCGTGACGACTGCTGCTGCGACGACCGTGACGGGGACGGGGCGGCCGCTCGGTAATAAGGTAATGCGAGAGGAGATGGAGACGTCGATGACGGACGGCGACGGCGCCGGTGTCGGCGAGTCCAAGAGGCGGAGCCCTGGCGGCCCGGATCCTCAGCATCACTGAACTGAAACAAGGTTCTGTGTCGGTGCTGTCAGCCGACTGCATGCGTACACGACACCTGAACAGTTGGATTCGAACGAAGAGCTAGCGTTTGTGCTCGTATACAAATAAAAAGAAGATGTTGTTTTAGTTTTACAGCTATATTGTAGAACCATTTGCTATCTAGCCGTCACCCTCAGCCAGAGGCATAGACCAGATTTTATATCTGAAAAATAGGTTAATTTATGCAATGGTACTTTGGAGAGTTCAGAAAGAATAATGTAATAAGAGGACTTCATTAGATCTCTTCGTGTCCCATTTCGGCTGTGTTTCTGTTCGCATTGTGCCAATTGAAGACGAACACACAGGAGCTGCTCCACTTTTAAGGCTAATAGTGTTGTTGTCCACACAAAAATGTGGTGACGTGATCAATACACGGCAAGCTGGAATGATCTGCTTGGAGTAAGCCCGGAGATCCGCTCGACTTCAACACAGGACCAGCCGATCCTGTGAATTCCGAAGACGTGCCAGTCAATTTGACCTGCAATTGACAAGGAGAGAAAGTCTTATCAATAGTTTAAAGCGGAACATGCCGGTTTTATCCAGAAAGTTCCAAGTGTGCTGCTTCGAGAGCCGCCAAAACGGGAGAATCGACTAAATAGCCGATACGAGAAGAAATCAAGTGTTAAGGACTGTGATGTTCGTGGGTCACGACTGATTTATGATAACAAGTACAATGCACCCAGATATAAGTAACATCATCAGCTAGTTGGATATAACCAGTGTAAAGCATTGAGCTGATAAGTTTAACAAGAAGAGATATAACATGCGAACAAATCAACTGTCTAGTACAAATGAATCTACAAACGCTCTGAATCTAATTTGTTACTATAGATGTCCATGCAGCCTGAGGCACGACGACACGAAGCCCTTTTTTTAGCCTGACACGAGCACGGCCCGGGCCGGTGATGTGCGGGCCAGGGCTGGCCCGACCCGAGGGAGTAGGCCGTGCCTGGGCCGCTGCTCAGGCCCGTGGGCTGGCACGGCCTGCGTCGGTCGGCCCGACAGCGGCTCGACCTCCCCTCTCCCCCTCCTCACTCCTCCTCCCCTCCCCGCGGCCCACTCCCGGCTCGCCGGCCCCGCCTCATATATAAGCGAAGTCGCACCCGCACGCCGCGACCGCGGCGGCTCTCCCCTGAGCAGCCCCACGCAGCTACGCTCCCACCCTCGAACGTTGAACCCTAACTCCCCGTCTCCATCTCCTCCGCCTCCCCATCTCCCCGTCTCCATCTGCTTCCCGTCCCCATCTCCCCGTCTCCAGCATCAGGCATGGCTGGCGCTAGGCGGCCCCGACCTGCTTGCCCGATGGCCACGACGCCTCCTCCATCCCCACCCCAGGTGCGCTCGCGGCACACATGGCGGCCCCTTCCTTTACCAGCATCAGCGGCCCCTTCCCCCACCACCACCAGCGGGCCAGCGGCGGAGGTGGCCCCTTCCCCACCAACAGCAGCGGTTGCGGCAGCCACTTCCCTCACCGGCGGCTGCGGCGCCTTCCCCACCGTGTTGTCCCCCGCGTCGGCACCTTCCCCACCGGCGGCATTTCGCACTCAGGCGGATTGTGGGCCTCGGGCCGGCCTGGCCTGTTAAAAAGGCCGTGCTTTTCGGGCCGGCCCGGCACAGAAAGTGGCCTGACAGGCCATGCCCGGGCCATCGGCTAGGCACGGTGGACTTGGGCGGCACGGCCCGGCGGCTCGTCGTGCTCTACCGTGCCGTGGCTTACCGGGCTGTGCCTGGCACGGGCCCGTGCCGGGCTAGGACGGGCAGCCTAAATGGCCATATATAATCGGCCGGGCCGGGCCCGAATGGCCATATATATTTAAAGTGCTAACAGTGGGAGATCGATCGGATCGTTACAGACATAATAGCGAGCTATAGACCAGACTCAACTAGCTAGTAAACCTACTCAAGATCAGACATGCCTTTACCGCGTACTATGCACGAGCAAGATCAAAGTAGAACGACCGATAAAATATAATCCATCAGTTAAAGTAAAAATTATCGTAATATAGCAAAATAAACGATGGACTAAAAGGATGTGAGGCCAATCTAGATCGATCTCGATCGGGCAGGTTGATATTGCTGAAACTAATGACAATAAGAACATCAGCAAGATCGGTAACTTAATGAATCTATCCGAAGGATGCCATCCTTAGGTAGAGCCGATAACTTGATCTTTATTTAATTCGAGCAGCGGAGGTCGAACCTAACCGATGCAGCTGTACTTGAACTAGATAAGGATCGATAACTAACTTATACTAGAGCTCGTAAGAGGTCGGCCGGACCGATGCAACCTTACAAACAAATGTATAAACCATGACGGTACTTACAGACAAACCGGAGGTCAACTGGGTCGATGCAACCCTGCTTGTTGAAGAACTCGTCGAGATCTATATTACTCCTACTCCTAAGGGTTGGCGTGAAGCCGAAAAGGTAAAGACTGTTTTAATTGATTGAGAGATAGATCTGTTACAATAGCCGGGGGTTTATATTTATACCCTGGGCTGATAAGAGTCCTAAACGAACACGACTAGATAACAAAAAGAAATATCAAGATACATGGACTCTAATTTCTCTTATGTAGAATCCTTGTTGATGAAGCTTCCTTGTTTAATATGTGTCCTTGTTTCTTCCATCCTGATATGCACCTGGACATCATGTCTCTCTTAAATTTATTAAATAATATTTCATGGCCAACTCGTAAATATCCCTTAATTAGGAAACTTTCTTGCTTTTGACATCATCGGCCGATCTCTTCCTTTTCAGGATAAGCTTACCAAATTTTGGTGTAAACATAGGCCCTAGTTCGGAGTATGATTTTTCATTCTTGAACTATTTTAATCCAATAATCTCCTTTCCGAGTCAACGATATCTCGATTGTAATACTTGGCTTTGATGACTTACTTGGATTGATTGTTCATCCGCTTTAGCCGATTAAGAGTGGCCCCAAGTTTATAACTATAATCGGCTATCAAATCCTTTGGTAAGGAGTGAAGAATTCACTTGGTAGCAATATTACCTTATTCCAAGCTTCACCTATACATGTGAATTTTGAAGTGTCTATCACGCCATCTTGGGTGGTTGAAGAATGGAATGGATTAGAATCCGGTCGTTCTCACTTCTCTTGCTCGAGAAAACTTGAGTTTTTAAAGATTTTTAAATTAAAACATAGCTTTGCTCCCCAAATAATTCTCTCAGATCGCTCAATGTGCATAGTTCCTCACCGGGACATTGTTTTAGCCTCTATTTGCCCTACTTCTAAAAAGCTTATGTGGAGTTTGGGTAGGGACAAAGTATGTAGCATACTTGCCTTGCATATCGTAAAGTCAAACCCTGGATCCAAGGAGAGAAGTGTCATACTCTTAGATCAAGATGTGCATCTGTGTGGAATATTTAGTGGCTAACCTAATTCTACTATGCTCTCTGAAATATATTTCTCTCTTGTGGAATATTTTTTGCGAGAACATGGGTTATCTTTATTCTCATTTCTTTTTTTCTCTTTTTTTTACTTTGGACCTCTTTTGTGTTCATCTTTTATATTTTTGCACAACCCATGTCTCTTTTTACAACAACTTTTGAGAGAAATATTATTAAGAACTTGGAGCATTTATTCTGATAAAACCTAGCAAACATATTTTTGTCTTCTCCTGGTGTAGAAGCAGAACATTTTGATGTGGATGAGAAACATGTTTTTGCGTACTTTCAGTATAGAAGTAGCGCATATATGTGGCGTGTACGTGATTTTGATCTTGGGAGCATGATAAATCTCTCAACAAGGGTCAACAAGACTTGACAAAACTCAACAAAGAGCAAGTAGCTTATGCGAAAGGTTTTTAATGAGACTAAGATATGGCTCTAGTAGGAAATTCAACATCATTGAGGAGACAAGCTATTGATTTTGAATTTTTGTAAGAAAATTTCCCAAGTACTTTGTAAAAAAAAGCAATGTTTCTTTCATCATACCATATCTCATTCATCAACTACTTAGATAGCACGCTTTTTCTATGATAGATTGTTCACAAGTGACAGGAAAAGTAGGAAATAATCAATATGCGTACCCCCGCTTTGAACCGATGAATGCCTTTGCTCGGACTTTCTCCCAGTATGCATATATCAGCTAGACTTTGTCGGCCTTATGATCTCTGTGTTCCCAATCAAACATATGATATGGCATGACGACACGTACTTCCAAGATCTGATTCATCCTTTTTGTGCCCACATACATCATGTATATATATGCATGGAAATCTGACTTGCATGCACTACATAAAAGGGCTCTATCGGCTTGATGCCTTGATCTTCCAATTCTGAGCCGATTGCGAGCAATCTTTCATTTACTGCTTCTGACTTTTAATAAGGCGATTGTCAGTTTCAGAAGTCCCGCAATCAGATCAAGTTGAGAACACAGAGAGAGAGCACTGCGAAAAATTCGCTTGCCGAAGCCACAAACTACAACAAAAGGTCAGGGCTAGCTAAGAGGCTTCCTGCGTTGACCGCTGAGCGCGCTGTAGGTGCATCATGGTAGTGTAGACGCCTTTGTTGTCATCGGACATGCCCTCACCAAGCACAAGCTTAGAGACCCTATTTTCCGCCAGCTCCTATCTTATCGCCAATGGAGCAGCGGTCGATCATGTCTGCGTGGGGCTTCATGCTGAGCCGTCTGAAGGCCGTGGCGGTAAACGTCGAGGATCGGCCGATGAGCTTGGCCACTATGGTAGTCGGCTCGAATGGTCTGCTGATGTCGACACTGCTGCACTGCTCCGAGAAGGGCGTGGATGCATCGGACATGGCATAGCTGAGGTCACTCGCCACATCGATGAGGCTCTATGTGGACAACAATGAGCAGCATTTGTCGTGTTATGGCCTAGACTTTTCCACATCCTTTGCTCATCCATTGGCTATGCCTCCACGAGAGAATATAGCCGATGTAGAGGAGGAGGTCCACATCCTTGTTTGCCAACATCACT